TCCCTGGAGTTTACAGCAGCTGAACGAAAAAAAAAAAATCCAGACGCAGACTATCCTTTTCTTCCATTAGCATTGTTAACCCTCTCGCTCGGTACTAAGGATATCGCAACCCGTCGGCCTGGATTCCATGATAGATACCGCAAATCCGGGAGACATGCGGCTTAACTGCCTAAAGCCGGACCACGAGTAGAGATGGTCTGCATAATTTATGACTCGTCTTATATCAGTGCCTTCCACCGCTGTCGCTTCAGCTGTCAAAACATCCACTCGTTCATTGCCTTGCACTCCGGCATATCTCAGGAATCATTTCCACTGGAGTCCTTGTATTATTGGCGTACTGGTGTTTGGTATCCCCTGGTGCCATGTTGCTCCGTTACAAACCTACAGCAGTACTAAGGTTCAGTGATTCCTCTGGTAAGTCTATGTTCGACTGTCCATTCAGAAGTGCAGTCTTGTACTTTGCTTTGACTGGCTGTATATAGTATACATCTCGTCCTTTTTAGGATGACATTTTTTTTTTTATTTTAAGCACTACTCTGACTTTTGCCAGGGTCCTCAATATAGCCTAGCCATAAATATGGCCTAAAGGCTGAACGCAGTTTCTGGGACCTCTCCACGGTGATCCTCACCCACTTGGTGGCACATTGTGTCATCGGGTGTTTATAGCTTGTGTGATGTCCTGGTGGGGTAGAAAGTCAGTCAGTCTGACCGGCTGTAAGCTAAAGGTTTGTTCGTCCATTTGTAGACTATCGTCTTGCTCCAGAACTCTAGTTTGTCTGCACATCCGTTTTACAGATCTGTCTGATTTATATGCAGACTTGGTTCCTCGACTTTCAGTCAAATGCAATCCGATTTCGAAGGATACAATCACCAGTTAGTCCTCCTGTTACGACACACTTTTTAGCGAAGCATTGGGTCTACCTCCTCCCCCCCCCCCACTTCCCTCCCCCTTTTCCATGTTGACCTGAAACACCCACGAAGAGCTGCAGTGATTGCATCCATTCCAATACTTGTTCACGCTGAGCCGGGAATGCAGAGACTGGCCAGCTGGTGCCACAGAGGTGGAAATTCAGCAATTAATTCAAGATAACACTCTCCGATGACTGATTGGGTTCACTACCGGAAAGTGCTTAGAGAACAGTTACACATAGTCACATCGATAACAGTGCCAACAACAATACGTTAAGACTTATCTCTATAATGGTGCATCAGTGTCTATATTTAAGAACACATTATGATGACGAAGATGAATTGGTGATTACAGAACTACTGTCTGTCTAATACTCCCCACATAGCCATTGCTATACTTCCAAGGCGGTATCACCTCAAAGGGCGACACCTAGGCCTCGACTTGACGTGAGTCCACATCAACACCTTCGGTCTGCGGGCCCACTCCAGGGCTCACCCGTAGCCTTTCACGAACGCCTCGGCTATGTGCCCTCACTTGGGTTACTACTAGCCTATACATAATAACTGACTAGAGGTTTTACCAGGAGTAGCCGTTGCGGAGCGGTTAGACCCTCACCGCGGATCTGAAGGTCGTGGGTTCGCTCCCTGGCGGAGCCGGACTTTTTTTTCAAAAATGACTTTGGCTCCCAGGTCGACCCAGCCTTGAGTGGGTAATAGCTGCAGTCCCGGGAAGTAAAGGCAGTCGGCGTGATGCTGACCACGTTACCCATCTTGTGCCGATTGGTCTATAGAATATAGGTCTAGCCCTATATGCCCTATACGCCTAAACGCGTGGAAAAGAATCCTCTACACTTTTTTAAGGGGAATTACCAACAGCACTACGCTTCCATGACGCGCAGTCACGACTTCAAAAAAGAATCCTACCCTGGAACTGACTAGAGACTTGTCTCCCAGCACAGCCAGTTTCCCGACACACTGTCACAAGTCAGAACCCGACAAGGAACGATCATGTCCCCGCAGCAGGGTAATATAAAGTATTGGGCTCTCAGCGCCTTGTCTCCATTCATTAAATACACTCAACTGGAGCATTCTGAATGATACACCAAATTCTAATAAACAATATAAGCTTTCACCAGAATAAAATAATACACATGATTACTACAAAAAGTAACACACGTACGAGCTCTCTCACAGACTGAGGGCACTGACTGGACACGGGTTAACCTTCAGCTCAGCGGCTAGTCACGCTTGGGTCTTGCAATACCTGCGGAGCCACTGTCACCCGTTAATCTCGAGACACCCTGTCTCCCGCGTGAGTTAGCGTGGACTCTTTGTACTCATCTCTGCCATCATCGTCATCTAACGCCTTTACAACTGGCGTAGGCGATCACGCCTCTGACCTCTGGTACAATTTAACAGCAAAGTGAGTTTAGCACACGACACAACTGCTCACTGAGGTCATTGATCATTATTGCAAATATCGTTGGGGTCAGAACCGAGCCTTGGGGATACAATTTTGTTTTTCACACAGTTGTGAGTATTTCTTATTGATATTTACTGTAAGGAATATCTGTTGGAAAAAAAAGTTACATATTTAAACATATAGTTTTCTAGATATTTCCATCTTCTGAAATTTTTTTAAGCATCCTCTCCCCTTTTTGTTCCAAAACACATAAGCCTTTGATATATACAGGAACATGGCGTCATTCTTTTCATATTTGAGGAAACCTGACTTGACATCATGATCTAATTTCATATTATATTACATTTTCATGCAGTTGTTTTATTAAAGGGAGACTGGTTTTTGTTATGTAAGTTATTCTTTTGCAGAAAAATGCACCACTTTGTTCTGATTAACAAATAACAATATTACAAAAAAATTACTGTCAATAGTATAATTGCTACACGTGCATACTGTAAACGAACGAACGAACGAACGAACGAACGAATAAATGAACGAACCAGCGAATAAACAAAGTTTATTTTTTAATGGTAAAAACTTGGGTCCTGCCCATTTGACATTCTGCCCTTTCAATATCACTAACAACAATCAGTTATTCAATCATACATCCCTTTAAAGTTTATAATAAGCATGTTAGCACCTGTAAGCAAGTTAATCATTGTCAGATCATGAATTAATCAAGTAACAGAAAGTGTATTGATCCGCACTCATAGAAATAAGTAGAAAGATAGATGAACACACTAGACAACATAAAAATCGAAAGCTATAGTTACCGTGCCGGGAATTGAACCTGTCACCTCCAGACGGCGTCTGCGCCTCGCCATGAATACAAGTGCACTAAGATACATGGTCAACTAGGCACCCCCAAAAAAAGGTGTCTCATTGGCCATGTCTATCGTACAACTTGAAATCTACGACTATGGAATACGGACATATTCATTTCAACCCATTGAAATGGCACCATAGGTTACAGAAATTTATATTAACGAAGCAAATGTCGAATAACAATCACAGCAACAATTTACGAACATAGTAGACCTTATTGCCTTGTCTAGAATACACAAACATTTAAGAAAGGTATTTGATTGGTAGGTTCCGGTGTGTATACGTCATTCCTATAAATAAACAGAGGGGGGAACCATTTGAGGCCGTTAAATATTATGAATTAATCAAGTAACAGAAAGTATTGTGAACGGCACTCATAGAAAGAAGTAGAAAGATAGATGAACACACTAGACAACATAAAAATCGAAAGCTATAGTTACCGTGCCGGGAATTGAACATGTCACCTCCAGACGGCGTCTGCGCCTCGCCATGAATACAAGTGCACTAAGATACATGGTCAACTAGGCACCCCCAAAAAAAGGTGTCTCATTGGCCATGTCTATCGTACAACTTGAAATCCACGACTATGGAATACGGACAGAATTCATTTCAACCCATTGTCAGATCATGCATCTTTTCCGTGGCAACTTATAACTGTGACTCAGGGACTCTCACTCGAACTTTGAAAACAGAAAAGTGGAGCTTCTGAACTGAAATGCTACAGAAAATTCGATAAATACCAGGGACGGAGAAGAAGAAAAACGTCGACATTCGGCATGACCTCAACATCAAGGAGAACTGGCGCGTAAACAGCATCCTGTCCCGGAAGTTGTGGGGTATTGTGGATATGTCAAGCGGCATGGTGGTCTGGAGAGAGCGGCGATGGAGGGGGACAGTTTGCAGAAAACTAGGCAGAGGCCAGCCTAGACCGTCCTCATCTGACCGGCCCTGCTGCTGACGTCACCAAACCGTGCTAACGATACGTTAAGTCTTGGGCCAGCTATCCGATGGTGGATATAAGACACTGATGATACATTGGCTGTGAAAGCACATATGGCTTGAGAACTGGTTAGAGAGGCGTGACGTGAAGAAAGCCACGTTGTGTAAAGGATTTGCTGATTGATTGAATGTATAAACATTCTCGGCCACGCCTGATTAGTAGTTCCAAACACTGGAATTTGATGTAAGGCTGGGATTATGTAATCTTTTAATGGACACGTAGTCTGTAGTGAGGTAACATTCGAAAAGCTTCCGACTGGTTATATAGGGGCTGTTGTATTTGTATACAAATATAGACACACCCCCTCCCCACTAACACAGATTTAAGACAACTGATGATTGATTAGCACCTTTCCGTCTTTCCAGACGATAGTGTTAGACTGCTCTATGAGGAGACATGGGACTCACAGCCCATGGCGATGGCGAGTGTGACTAACAAGACCTGCCTGCGGTAAGAAAAGTCTTCCACAAATATAGCATGGGATTTCATGACAATTTTGGTCAACATTTGTGATTAGTCTGTTTCTTCTCAGACGCTCAGCTTTTATCATTTCTGTAATCATTTATTCCTTAATTTTCATTCCCTTCCTGATGTGCTCCATCCACACAACACGGTCCATCGCATTTTGTTCCCAGGAATCCACCTCAATGCCTCTAACATTGATATTTATAACAAATACACTAACGAATTTAGCAATATGTACATAGAAATACTGCGTTTAGCTTCAACAGCAAGGTATTGATTGAGCCAGATATGAAACTATAACAACGATACAATCAACACAGCACTTGTGGCCAGAGAAACCTATACTCTGGGAAAAGAAGCCCTCGTTGCGATTTGGCACATGTTGCCTCTGTTTCTAGCCATGTAGATGTAGCCACTGTTGCCCCAACTTGTTCCCCAGCTGTAGACATAAAATATATGACAACCATAGCTGTTAATAATTATTCAATAATAACGCAGTACAAGCAATAACCATTTATGTAATCAGTAATTACAATATGATTAATTAAAGTGGAACGTAAAAGACCCTTGACCGCACGTTGTCCGCATACAGAGCGAGACCTATATTTTAAAGACCAATCGGAACTGGTTGGGTGATGTGGTCAGCATCACTCAGCCGCCTTTACTTCCCAGGACTTTACCTAGTACCCATTCAAGGCTGGCTCAACCTGGGATACAAGGTCATTTTTGCAGTAAAAAAGCTCGGCTTCATCAGGACCCGAACGCACTACCTTCCGATCGGCAGAAGAGAGTTTAGCCGCTATGCCACTGCGACTCCAGTGTTCATTAAAACACTCATATTTCTCAGAGTCGTTCTTCCTAAAGTTCGCCGGCAGTGAGCTCATGAGGAGAGTTCTGATTGTTCCCCTTTGGTCTTGTCCAAGAACTTCAGTGTTGTGTGCACATCCGTGTTACACATCTGATTTATTTGTATGCAGTCAGTCAAGTTGCAGTGGTCGAGGAGGGGAATAAAAGACGCTAGCATTGGAGAGGATATACGGTAAGAAAACCGCCGAACAATACAACTAGAATGTCTTTGCACAGGAACCTACAGGGGCAAAAAAAAAAAAGCAGGTAAAAAACACGGAGAAAAGAGCTGAAGAGTGAAGTTTAAAAGATGGGGAGGACATGGGAAGAACTGTCTGTGATAGCGACGGATGGAACGAACTGGTGTGAGTTGCTTGGGAGCCCGTGCTCCACTAAGGGTTGGAAAGGCAGAAAAACAAGTCGGTTTCTCGCCTCTCAGGACAGAAGAACTCCCGACACACCTCATTTAGTTGCGACATGTCTGTGTTTTTATAGTCTGTGGGACTATTCCCACCTACAATAAAATAGGGCCAAGAAAGGCACTTGGGGGAGGAGGTGGAAGTGAGGGGAAACAGTCCTATGTTTGAGCTAGGCCTGTAATAGATGCACATTCCATTGTTCAGTAACATCAGCCTTGTCTCGTTAGGGTCGTGCTGGTGTATCGATGGAATCACTCGCACACAAAACCCGCCATCTTTCGCTGTCTTCTGCTTGTATGATAGCTTAGTCCTGCTGATTCTGATGTTGTCGTTCCAGGTTTTTCTTTGTCCTTCTCTTCTACCCCCCCCCCCCCCCCCACTTTTCCCCATGTTGCCTCGTGGTCTGCTTCCATCCAGCTCTGTTGTGTATACAGTTTGTGTCGCTCTGTTATCTACCATTCTCTTTGTCTGCTGTAGCTTTGGGTAAAATCAAGTGGCTCTCTACAAACCAATCAGGCAAACATGAGCTTCACCACGAAGAAAACATTATGGCGCTATTGTCCCCTTTTTTTCCACAACCTCCCTTCCTCATCCAATTCTAAACTTTTCCGGGCATAAAAATTTGCGTGAATGGAAGGCAACACCCCTCCCTAAATTAGGAGACAAATTGCGAAAGGGGAGGGGGGTTTGTTGGGAGGCTTTCACATGACGTTGCAGAACCAACGCCAGCAAATTTGTTGTTGTTGCCTGTTGCGGTTTTTCTAGGCACATTTTTACATTCAGTAGTTTGCTATTGCTTACTGAAAGGTTAGCTCTCGGTACCATAGTCGAAACCAACGCAAGACGGTCAGCTGTCAAATCGCCCGCAGTTGGGATCGGACCCGGTACCCCGGCATTACCAAGTGCGTTCGTAACGCCTCAACCAAAAAATCCGACTTACCTGTTTTTAACTGTCCAGTAATCTTGAGAGCCAGATGTTCCATAGCCGACCACAAGCACTCCGTGGTTGATCTGTGTACAGGTGTTGTCTATGAAGATTCCTGTATCCGGGTGTAAGACAATACTTCCATCAACCAGGTGTTACATGAACAAACAAACTTTGTTTTCAAAGGGTTAGGAACTTGGCACGCATTCTCATCTATAATTATGCCCTATAAGTCTCACTCCTTGCATACCAGGGACAAATTTAATACCGAACCGAACAAACACTAACAAAACGTGAGCCTTCTTTAGCACATACATAGATCAGACAATACTAAACGAATACACAGTATCACTTATCTTCGTATCTCGTGGCAGCCAGGTTGATTTCAAGCTGATAGTCTGGCGAGGCACGTGGGGCCGAGAAAATAAATATCCCTGGAAAATGCCATGCGCCGTCACTCGAGGATAAATTTATCTCCTTTCATATTTTTTTTTTTTTTTTATTTCTACATCTTTTCACGGGTAGTGATCAATCTTTTCAACGACATCTAAGTCTTAATTACACAGGCTAAAACGTGCTCCAATTATTCTTACGTTACTCTGACCCAGGAGCCTCCATGGTGTAGCAGCTAGATGCTCGTCTGCGGATCAAAAGGATGTGGATTCAGGCCCTGACAGAGCCGGACTTTTATCAAAAATGGCCTTGCTTTTCAGGTGGACCTAGCCCTGAATGGGTACTAGGAACAGTCCTGGGAAGTAAAGGTGGCTGTCGTGATGTTGACCACATCACCGACCCAGTGCCGATTGGTCTATAAAATACAGGTCTAGCCCTATATGCCTAATACGGCCGGAGATGTGGACAAGGGTCCTCTCACCCCGACCCACCAGCCAGCTGTACACATTAACTGAAATATTTGTCAAGTCAAAAAACATTTTGCCTCTTCTGTGGCACATGTTACCATATATGTATATACACCAATCGGTAATGTAGTCCTCATCACGCTGGCCGCCTTTACTCCCACAACAGTTCATGGATCTATTTTAATCTAGGTCGACTTGTGAGCCAGAGTCCAATATTCTAAAAACAATGCAATGAGGTATCGAACCAGAAACCTTCGGCCAGCCAGGCAAACGATGGAACGTATTAGTTTGTTAGTTAATTAGCTAGCTAGTTAGTTATCATCGTTTCACTCCGGAAGTGTCATTAGGTGCTCAGATCCTCCCCTCAGTATGAAATATCAGCGGAACCCCAGCCTCCGGTGGCTAATAGTACCAGTTCTATGTTCATTAACAAGCCCTCTGATGTTCTTGATGGGTGTCTCGTTTAGCTATGCCGATCCTGACTCTCAGGTCTATCGTTTCGGCACGCAAGAACGTTTCAATTTTTTTTAATGAAAATAGATAGGAACAAAATATGAGGAACCCTTGAGACCACAGAAACATACTATGTAACAGACAGATATACACTGTGTTTATGTTGTATAGAGTGCACGAGGTGCGATGATAAAAGACAACCACTGTGACAGTATTTTTAATGTAATAAACAAACAGACAGTTCTTAAAGAAACGGATGAAAGGAAACAGGCGTGCGTTTTAGAATACTACTGGAATCACCTCGCTTATAATACAGAAAGTTGTTGTATACTACCACACTTACCTCCCATATAATGTTATATGCTACAACACGTACCTACGACATAATATTACCTCCCTGTAATGTTGAATATCACAGTGAACATGGTGGAATTGGAACAAGTTAAAAATTGCTTATGTCTTGGATAAGTAATAACATGTGACGGCAGAAGTGAAACAGGAGTCACGTAAAGAATAGGGATGGCCAAAAACATTTTCAACAACATGCAAAAGAAATAAGCAATAAATTAAAAATGAGAATTGTCAAATGTTATGTATTCCTAACCTTACTGTATGGCACAGAGACATGGACAATGAACAAACAACTGGAAAATCGTATCAATTCTTTGGAGATGTGGATATACAGAAGATTAGGTCGTATTTCATGGAAACAAAAGCTATCAAATACAGAGGTACTGAGGAAATTGGGAAATGAAAAGAGAGTTGCTAGTTGAAATAAAAAAGAGACAAGTGAAATATTTTGGCCACATTAAAAGACATAACAGTATTGTAAAAATCATCCTAGAGGGTAAAGTTCAAGGTAGGCGAGCAAGAGGCAGACAGCGTTACAAGTGGGAGGATAACATCAAGAGATGGACGAACAGCAGTATAAGTGAGTGTACATCAAGGGCAAGAGACATGGCTTGTTGGAGATCCATTGCAGCCAACCTTCATTGTGGAGACGGCACCTAATTGATTGAATGTTGTATACTACAAAAATTACCTCCCATACAATGTTATATGCTACCACACTTACTTATAATATAATTTTGTATACTACCACACTTACCTCCCTGTAATGTTGTATACTACAACACTTACCTCCTATATTATGTCATATGCCACCACACTTACCTACGATATAATATTGTATAATACCACAGTTACCTCCCTGTAATGTTGCATACTACCACACTTACCTCCCTGTAATGTTGCATACTACCACACTTACCTCCCTGTAATGTTGCATACTACCACACTTACCTCCCTGTAATGTTGCATACTACCATACTTACCTCTCTGTAATGTTGCATACTACAACACTTGCCTCCCCTATAATGTTTTATACCACCACACTTACCTTCCTGTAATGTTGCATACTACCACACTTACCTCCCTGTAATGTTGCATACTACCACACTTACCTCTCTGTAATGTTGCATACTACAACACTTGCCTCCCACATAATGTTTAATACCACCACACTTACCTCCTCGATAATGCTGGAAGTTGCTGGATGCTGCCACCCCCACAGAAACAGGACCGACACTTCCTACAGCGCTCTTAAGTGCCTGTTCACTCCCCGATGGAATATCAGTGAAACCAGCCACAGTGGCTTTGGCGGTGCTTGGTTGATAGTGGCACACTCCGTCCTGTTGATTGATGTTCAAACTGATGCTTTCATAAGTGTGTGTGTGTGTGTATATATATATATATATATATATATATATATATATATATATATATATATATATATATATATATATAGGGTGTTTGTAGAGCTCAGTACACTTTGTATATGGAACAAATCTAGATAACAAAATACATGTCATCAAAAAATTTGCTCCACAGACAGTCGTGAAGTAATGGCTGGCGTTTGCAACAGTAATTCTGTGTACTTAAACACAAAATGAAGTTGTCAATAGAAGAAAGCTTTTTCATCTTCGAAACCCCCGTCGATACACACGGGCGGTTGTTCAAGGATTTATTGCAAGATTTCTTGATATTAACCTTCTCATCTTATTAGAGTTAGAAATTTGTAGAATAAGTTATAATGAAAACTTCATGTGTACTTTCTGGCTTCCCCAAAACATCGTTAGTAGATAACAGTGACTCTTGTAACTAATTTTGTTACCCCTTCAAGCATACTTTTTTTTATTTTTTTTTTTTTCAAATTTTGCTCAGCATACAAAGTGTAGTGAGATTTTAGAAACACCCTACATAAAATCTTACAAAGATAACACATCTTCTTTCATTTTTCATAACTGTGTCTCATAATACCTGTCTATTTAGGGTAAATAACTTCGTAATATAGAGCCGCTGGGGTGTAGTGGCTAGATGCTTGCCTGCAGATCCGAAGGTCATGGGCTCAGGTCTCGATAGAGCCGGAATTCATTACTTTAAATGGTTACCATATGCAATCATGGGAAGTAAATGCGGCGGCTTGATGTTGCTGAGTGGTCTATAAAATATAGGTCTGGCCCTATTTGCCCAGACGCCTGAAGGTGTGGAAAAGGATCCTTTATATTGTGTGTGTGTGTGTGTGTGTGCGTGCGTGCGTGCGTGCGTGCGTGCGTGCGTGCGTGCGTGCGTGTGTGTGTGTGTGTGTGTGTGTGTGGTGTGTGTGTGTGTGTGTGGTGTGTGTGTGTGTGTGTGTGTGTGGTGTGTGGGTGGGTGGGTGGGTGGGTGGGTGGGGGGGGTGGGTGGGTGGGTGTCCTAACATAAATGTTGTTATACTTTTGACATGAGGGGTGGGGGAGGGGGATGTCTGCACACATGCTGTAAAAGATCGCAGGTTATGGAGAGGCTTGATCGCCTACGCTAGTCGGCAAGACACTTGATGATAATGATACCGTTCAACAGGGTTTCTGTGATGTTTTTCTGCTGGATTTTAATTCGAATAGTTTCTCTTTGGGTCATTCAGGATGCAATCTTGTCTATCCGTTGGCTCCATCACTTTCTGTTTTCTTTTTTTTTTCTTTTTTTTTCTTTCTTTTTTTTCTTTTCTTTTCTTTCTTTCTTTCTTTCTTTTTTTTTTTTTTTTCTTTCTTTTTCTTTCTTTCTTTTCTTTCTTTCTTTCTTTCTTTCTTTCTTTTTCTTTCTTTCTTTTTTTTTCTTTCTTTCTTTCTTTCATTCTTTCTTTTTTTCTTTCTTTCTTTCTTTCTTTCTTTCTTTCTTTCTTTCTTTCTTTCTTTCTTTCTTTCTTTCTTTCTTTCTTTCTTTCTTTTTTTTCTCGCTCTATCCTTTTCATTCATAGCAGTAAATTTGAACATAAGATAACTTATATATTCTTAAACGCCAAACTGAAGACAGAAAAGACGAGGAAGAAGAGAAAGTGAGGATAAGACGAGGAGGCGCGAAACCTCCACAGCATCAGCAGCAATAGCATCACCAGTCATGTAAAAAAAAAAATGCAATCTGACTATGATGAAGATGATAATACTATCGATAATGATGATGCTGATGTATAATAATGATAACGATGAGAACAATGAGAACGATAATTATGATGCTGATGATAATAATGATGATAAGGACGAAGACAACGATGATGTTGATGGTAACGATGGTGATGACGATAACAATTACAACGATGATATCGAAAACAATGATGGTGATGATTATAATAATGATAATGATGCTGATACTGATGATGATGATGATGATAGCCATGATTGCTATGATAATGATAATATTGATTAAGATGATGATGACAAAGATGATAATAATAACGATGATGATAACAACCACACCATTAAAGAAAATAACAATAATAATGATGATAAAGACAAGTTCGATGATGATAACGATGATGGTGATAACAACGTTGATAATTCAAAATAATTATTATAACTATGATAAAAATGATGAAATCAATGACGGGGATGAAAGTGATATCGGTGACGATGATGATGATGATAATGATGACAACGATGATGTTGACGATAGCGATCATAACCATGCAGATGATCATAACGATGATAATGATATCAATGACGATAATAATAATGATAACGATGACGATAACAATGATGACGATGATGATGATGGTGGTGATAATAATAATAATAATAATAATAATAATACAATTGATAACTAAGATGGTGATTCCAGGAACAGAAACACACAAACAAATTGAAAAACTGATGTCATCTATAAAACTCACCCTCGCCACGTATGGGTAGTCAGTCTCTCCTGCTATACCTCTGCTAGCGATGATGTATGTGAAAGCCCAGTCCATCCAGCCGCCATTACATCCCTGGTTTCCATAATTTCTGGAACAGTCCACTAGTTGCTGCTCGGAGAGGGGGATCAGTCTCCCGGTCTTGGCAAACCACTGGCCTTCTAGTGAACCAGTCTGTTCGATCATTTACGTGTTTTAGTACATACATAAGTATACATATATTTATAAATACAGACAGACAGACAGACAGACAGACAGACAGACAGACAGACAGACAGACAGACAGACAGACAGACAGACAGACAGACAGACAGACAGACAGACAGACAGACAGACAGACAGACAGACAGACAGACAGACAGACAGACAGACAGACAGACAGACAGACAGACAGACAGACAGACAGACAGACAGACAGACAGACAGACATTGACAAATGTATTGACAAGCAGAAACATCGAAAGACTGACACAAACCATCAGACTCGGTTAAACAGAAAAGCCGACAAACCGATAGACAGTATGGGAGACATAAAGATATACAGACAATCACACAAACTGATGAAAACCGAGACAATTCGACAGAAAGACTGACATATAAACAATTAGATCGATAGACAGACAGACAGACAGACAAAGAAGGAAACACGCAGATAGACAGACTTACCGCACTAAATGCCCAGCAAGATCCGCACTGTAACTGTAAAGATAATTAAATTGTACATTAATCTATCTGTCTATCTATCTATCTATCTATCTATCTATCTATCTATCTATCTATCTATCTATCTATCTATCTATCTATCTATCTATCTATCTATCTATCCATCTATCTATCTATCTATCTATCTATCTATCTATCTATCTATCTATCTATCTATCTATCTATCTATCTATCTATCTATCTATCTATCTATCTATCTATCTATCTATCTATCTATCTATCTATCTATCTATCTATCTATCTATCTATCTATCTATCTATCTGTCTGTCTGTCTGTCTGTCTGTCTGTCTGTCTGTCTGTCTGTCTGTCTGTCTGTCTGTCTGTCTGTCTGTCTGTCTGTCTGTCTGTCTGTCTGTCTGTCTGTCTGTCTGTCTGTCTGTCTGTCTGTCTGTCTGTCTGTCTGTCTGTCTGTCTGTCTGTCTGTCTGTCTGTCTGTCTGTCTGTCTGTCTGTCTGTCTGTCTGTCTGTCTGTCTGTCTGTCTCCAAAATGCAACATCAAAGTAAATAGGACAATCCTCAAGGAAACTGACATATTTGAGTACTGGGTTATTCTGATAACATCAGATGGAAGATCTATTCCAGAAGTTAAATGTCGACAAGCTCAAGCAAAGTCAACGTTTCGCTGAGTGTTGAATATTTTATGCAATCTTTCTGTGTCAGCTGAATGTTGAATATTTTATGCAATCTTTCTGTGTCAGCTGAGACGAGAAAGAGAATTATTAAAACTGTATAAATCCTTTTTTAATATACGAAAGTAAATCATGAACAGTTTGTAAATGAGTAAAAATTATTTAGAAACTACGGAGATGTGGTTTGTATACGGGTGATGAGAATACTCTCAACATATATAGTATATTGTGATGTTAGGAAAGTTGGAGGGGAGGGGAGGCAGAGGGAGACCGAGAAAATAGATGCTGGACAGTTTGACATTGTGGCATGGAAGATCATCTGTGTCAGAGTTGACACAAAGTACACGTAACAGAAGGTAGTGGATAGACATGACTACTAACGCCACATGGCATGGACTATGGAAGATCATCTGTGTCAGAGTTGACACAAAGTACACGTAACAAAATGTAGTGGATAGACATGACTACCAACGCCACATGGCATGGACTATGGAAGATCATCTGTGTCAGAGTTGACACAAAGTACACGTAACAGAAGGTAGTGGGTAGTCTGACTACCAACGCCACATGGCATGGACTATGGAAGATCATCTGTGTCAGAGTTGACTCAAGTACATGTAACAAAATGTAGTGGGTAGACATGACTACCAACGTCACATGGCATGGACTATGGAAGATCATCTGTGTCAGAGTTGACTCAAAGTACACATGACAGAAGGTAGTGGGTAGACATGACTACCAACGCGAAACGGCATGAACTTTAAGAAGAACGTGTCTGTCTCTCTGCTGTCCGTCTGTTTTGTCGGTCGATCGGTCTATCTATGTGCCTTTATATTTCAGGTATGTGTGTGTGTGTGTGTGTGTGTGTAAGTGAGTGAGTGGGTTTGCGTGTGTATGTGGGTATTCCCGCGAGCATGTGTTTGCATTTTACCACCCACGCGTTTGTGTTTTAGCTTGATATTCATAATATGCATATTATTATGTGAACACAACATGCTTTATTGATAATATACAACTGCTGTGTGATAGAAGAGGTGTTTAAAGTGCCGAATGTAAAAAGGGCCTGCGTGCCCAATTTGTGAACCTTTGAAAACAAAGTTCGTTGCTTTGTTCATTCTAAAGAAATTAACTAGTAAAAGCAACGGTAATGAACATGTACCTTTCTTATTTAACAAACCTCTAAATACATTTAAATGCAAGAGAACAGCATCAGTAAAAATAATTAAAATAATAATAATAACAATAAAATAACAATAAGATAAAAAGAAAGACAGGTTTGTTGACTTTCTGACCTGATTTTTGACGCCTGTGACGTAACCTCGACTTCTCCAGTCTACGGAGTCTGCCACTACCACATCCATAGTCGGGGGTGTGGCTTTTGTGTCTACGGTTTTGTTGACCATCATAGGAGACAGGATGCTTTGAAACTCCTCCTCTGTCTGTGGAATTGTTTTATCGAATTATTATTCACAATATTCTACATGCAAAGTTATGTTTGGGCTATGAACATGTCATTGAGTGTGTTGGGATATGGTAAGTGAAGTTTAGTTTTTTGTTTAGTCTTTCCTGGTGAGCCTGGGGCGACGGATAGGGCAGAGGGTCCAGTTCTCAATGTTTGGCGGTTCGTTGCCACCTATTCTATGTCTTGGATGTTCATTAGGCCATGGTTGGGCCTTTCTTGGTCTCTCTTGGTCTTCCTCGTTTTCTTTTTTCTTCCGGTGTCCATATGAAGGCTTGATGGGAGAGTCTGGTCTTATCCATTATGAGTGCATGACCGATGTAGTTCCAGCAGCGCTTTCTTATAAAACTAGATACGTTATCTTGCTTGGTCTCTTGTCTTATTTGCGTGTTGGATCTGAAATCTCTCCAGTGGAGATTTATTCTTCTTCTAAGACATTTGTTCTCAAAACTGTCTTTTCTTTTTTTTTTTTTTAAACTTTTTGAGTCCCAGAGCGTTTAGCTTCACATGCCCACGGGGTAGTCAAGAGATACGTAACATCGGCGCATCATACGTTTATTGGGCTTCTAGGCGTAACCTATGAACGTATGGTGCGTTTCTTGGTACTCAAAGAGTTAAATCTAGAACTACGGTTGCTTTTCAACTCTGGCATCCATACAAGTAAAGTGCAGGACCCTCTCTGATGATTCAGAAGTATTGGACATACAGGGTTAGATCTATACTGTATAGATCTATCATCACTCGGTGGGTCATACTGTCAACATCACGCCGGGCGCCTTCACCTCTCAGGACTTTAACTGGTACACTTTTAAGAATGGGTCGACCTGAAAGCCAATGTCATTTTTTTTTTTTTTTTTTTTTTTTTTTTTTTTTTTGGGTTCAGTGGGTGCGGGTTTGAATCCACGAAGTTCGAGCCTGCTAGTGAGCGTCTGGTCGCTAAACCTCAGCGGTTCCTTGCCGGGTATATCAAGTCAGAGACTTTCTGGTAACACAGCAAAACTGGTTAATGCAAGCATTGATGGCGCTTTTACTGGGACATTTGAAACACACAAATACAACTAAAATTTAAAACAAAACAAAAACTCGTCTCAGAATACCACAACAAATAAATTACCCAGTCTGAGAACTGGTTAATGTCCATCCAGTAAGTTGTCAACCCGTTGTGAAACTGCCAGTTGTGACGCTCAATTATTTTCACATTGTCGATGAAGATGGCAAACCTTTTGCTCTCTTCGCTGACATTGTAGACTCGTTCTGGAAAACAACAAGTTAAAATAAAAATAAAAACAATGAACTTTCAACAGATTTTGTTTCATCAATTTTGTGCCACATGTGAAGTTAATTTTATGAGGGATAATTTATCAGCAATTTTATGACGAATGATGTACTAGTAATTGTATCGTAGAAATTCATCAGTAATTTTCTTGCAGACATTGAAAAAGTAATTCTATGGCGGATGTTATATCTATCATCTATCAGAGATTTTAGAACAGAGAGTGTATCGTTAATCTTGTGGTAGGTATTGCAGCAACACATGTAAGAGAGTTAAAGAGAATTATAAATGTTTAAGATCATGCACCTTTTCCTTGGCAACTGATGGATCGAGTCATTAACTCTTACTTGATCACCGGAGAAGAAAAAAAAGTCGTTGCTGTTAAATTAAAAGGCTACAGAAAGATTCTAAGAATACCCTAGAGCAAAAAAAGAGCAACAAAACCGACATCCGACATGATCTGGGCATCGAGGAGAATTGGCTTATAAACAGCATCCTGTTATATTTTTACCATGTTGAACGCCATAGTTGAATGGAGAGAACACTAATGGAGAGAACAGTGATGGAGGGAACAGTGATGGAGGAAACAGTGATGGAGGGAACAGTGATGGAGGGAACAGTGATGGAGGGAACAGTGATGGAGGGAACAGTGATGGAGGGAACAGTGATGGAGAGAACAGTGATAGAGAGAACAGTGATGGAGGATACAGTTTCCGGTAAACAATGCAAAGGCTGACCTCTTCGACGATAGATACAAGAAATTGAAGATGCTTTGACTATAAAAGCACATAGGGCTGGAGAACTGACTACAGAAAGATAGACGTTTAGGAGGGCCGTGACAAGAGCGACGGTCTGTAGAATACCTGCTGATTGATGAAGATGTATTGCAGCATGGACGTGACGTAAGAATCCCCCATCTTTTTTCCACCATCAGTTTGCTGAGAATTCATTCATAAATTTCCCCGATCAGTTTGTTGAGAATCCTCCCTCCCTCCCCCTCTATTTCCACGATCAGTTTGTTGAGAAATTCCCCCCCCCCCCCCCATCTTTTTTCCACCATCAGTTTGCTGAGAATTCATTCATAAATTTCCCCGATCAGTTTGTTGAGAATCCTCCCTCCCTCCCCCTCTATTTCCACGATCAGTTTGCTGAGAATCCCCCCCCCCCCCTCTATTTCCACGATCACTTTGCTGTAACTAGCATAGATTCGTTCCGGTTCATTTGTGTCCTCCGGGCTGCCACATGAAATGTGACGACCTCAGATGACAAAATATCAGTCTGGATGGGAGTCTAGCCGGGCGAGATGCTAGATACCCTGTTCATTCTCCCAAAACAAAAGTTATAATTGGGACACCCGTATCGGCCACATCAACCTGGTGTAGATAAGGATTTTTGTTTACCAGACATGGGACATAATCTGCTTCTTTCAAGGTTGCTCCAGTGGGCTCAAAGTGTGCCCTGGGTATGGCAAACTGTGGCCAGTCTTGTGTTTTATTGGGCACAGTATTTCAGGGGTTTCGACTCTGGTGCTTTGATGGGGGGGGGGGTGAGGGGGGAGTCATCACTTTCAACCAGCATCCCCAAAGGGGGAGCTTAAGATTATAATTGTGACTAGGTTATGTGCGCCATCTAAAATGGCTTATCATTGCACGCCACCAAGAGGGACTCCTGCAGTGCAGTTGCGATCAACAGAGACAGACCCAAATATTGTCCCGACCTGCGACGAAGTCGTCTACCGGCGAGCTAATGGGCCCCCGGTAAAATATGTGTTTCAGAAGATTTTTTTTTTTAATCTCCAGAAACCATGAGTTGTTAACCCTTTGGCTCGGTGCTATGGATATCGCAACCCTTCGGCCTTGATTCCATGATAGGTACCGTAAATCTGGGAGGAAATGTGGCTTTTCTGCCTACTCCCGGGAGTGAACCCGGACCACAATGAGTTCGTCACCCAGTCACCGCGCAGTCCGGTTACATATATATATATATATATATATATATATATATATATATATATATATATATATATATATATATATATTATATAAATATAAAGAATGCGTTCTTGATTGACATTCATCTGTGATAAAATTTCATAAAGAATGCGTTCTTGAAGTGACACTGTCAGTAAGAGCGCGAATGATGAGGAAAATCTTGGTGATAGTAGGAGGAGGGGGTGTGTCCATCAAACGGCAACATCTGGTGATAGTAGGAGGAGGGGGTGTGTCCATCAAACGGCAACATCTGGTGAGGAGGAGGGGGGTGTGTCGTTAGGTTCAGGGCCTCAGGTAATAGGGACAGTTAGGTTCAGGGCCTCAGGTAATAGGGACAGATAGGTTCAGGGCCTCAGGTCTGGTAGGGTCTAGGGTTAATGCCCAGGAGCTCAGGTTATAGGGACAGTTAGGTTCTGGGCCTCAGGTAATAGGGACAGTTAGGTTCAGGGCCTCAGGTAATAGTGACAGTTAGGTTCAGGGCCTCAGGTAATAGGGACAGTTAGGTTCAGGGCCTCAGGTCTGGTAGGGTTAATGCCCAGGAGCTCAGGTTATAGGGACAGTTAGGTTCTGGGCCTCAGGTAATAGGGACAGTTAGGTTCAGGGCCTCAGGTCTGGTAGGGTTAATGCCCAGGAGCTCAGGTAATAGGGACAGTTAGGTTCAGGGCCTCAGGTCTGGTAGGGTTAATAATAATTACTACATTTACTTTTATTATTACTATTCCATCCTAATAATAATTATTACTGCTGTTACTATTATTATTATTGTGTACTGAGTGCCCAAAAAAATAATAATATGATATGTGGGTGCCGTTGTGGTTGAGTCACTAGACGCTGGCATGCGGAGCCGAAGTTCGTGGGTTCGGTTCTGTGTTGTTATTATTGTTGTTGTTTTTCCTGTGATAGGCCTAGTGAGTTGGCTAATTCTTAGTTTCATTATATTCTAATTTCTGTTTACTAAAACTCTATGTCTGTGTATGTTAGTCTGACTGTCTTCCTGTATTTGTCTGTTAGTCCAGGTGAGTCTGACTGTCTTCCTGTATCTGTCTGTCAGTTAAGATCAGTGGGACTGTCTTTGTCTTTCTGTCTCTGTCGGTCCCTTTGTCTTTCTGTGCGGGTGAGTCTGTCTTTCTTTTTCTATCTCTGTCTGAATGTGTCTGTATCTGTACTTTAAGTCTCCCGGGGACCTGCCTAACAACTTGACAACTCCTGGCTGGCAATCTAAGATACCCAGTTTAACATGAAAGGTTAATTAATTCTTTCTTAACCACTATGAGTTTACACATGGCAAAAAGTATTTCAGTTTCATAAACATCATAGTGTTTATGTTCCGCCTACTACCCCCCCCCCCCCCCCCCCCCCCCGTTTAGATCCTGTAAAACGTCAGATTTTTTTCTTTTTCGTCTATCTTGCTTAACGCCTCTATTCAGTAATATTTCACCTTGAAAGCTCTTGTTATGATTGTGAACCGACCCGTGACTTACATCCTCATGTAGCCGCGGGGAAAATATGTGTTTACAAAATTGAAACTAGAATCTGACTATTCATGTTGTGACGTAGACTTGACATTTTGTTGAACTGTTTGCCTTAAAGTCATGCATGGCGTGCAACTCTACACAAGGGCGCGGCTACATGTGAAACAAACAGAACAGCAAGACAGATTAAGACACAACATTTTGTTATTACTCTGGCTTTTGCCAGGGTTACGTCCTTCTTAGCGTAATTTTTTGTTATTTGAAGGCAGGGGGCCGCATCAATATGGCCAATTGTCTGAACGCGGTTTCTGGGACCTCTCCACGGTGATCCTCGTCCGCATGGTGGCACTTTGTGTCATCGGGTGTTTATCGCTTGTGTGATGTCCTAGTGGGGTAGAAAGTCACTCATAAAGCTGTGAATCCTAGACAATTAATCAATAAGCCGAACAATTTTTTGAGGCCTCGGAGATGTGGTTTTGCAGAAGAATTCATTGGACAACCAAAAAGAGCAGCACATAGCATGCAACATGTTTGGAAAGAGGTGAGGGCACGAAGACAACTTATCACAAACATCAGAAAAAGACAGACACCATTTTTTGGGTCACGCTATGAGAAGAAGGGAACTGGAATAAGTGACTACGAATAGTGATGGCTTCAAGTGCTAAGATTAAAAGAAAGCAGCCACTATTCGTTACCTCGGTCCAGAACTATGCAAACAGAAAGACACCGTATTGAACCTTCGCTTGCTTCGGTGAAATTAGTAGCTGGTTATGAGAGTAGTTGAATGTATACTTAGAAGATATGTCTGATAAAAATGATGAAAGTAAAATAGGATGAATTCAAAAGGGGTGAAGAAAAAAGAAAAATGCCTTGACAACCAATAGTATCAACAGCTATAAGACAGAGAAGACGGCGTTACATTTGACCCATTCTAAATAGACACAAGATAGCCCAGTCAATGACAGGTGTTACTGTAAAATAACTTACTGTGCTCCAGCTTGAACTGTTCCCAGGTCACATAGTAGTCTTCGTAAGACACTTTGTACAAGCCCACAGCATCCTTGGCTGTAGAAGGCACTAGAGGTGGCGTCAGCTCATCTGCTCTCGGAGCTGGGTTCTCTACCAGGTTTACCTGTGTTCCTTGCTCAGATTCAACCTCAGCGACTGCGAAGTACCTCAGAAAGTTTACCTTGGCAGCAGATGTGACGTCACATTGCAGGACTAGGAAGCAGACGACAAGTAAGGTTTTGGCGGGAACCATGTTTGTTTTCTGTAGCGTTCAGCTCCTAAAGAATATGACGGAGGAGCACTTAGTTAGTCCAGGGTCAAACAGAAGAACAAGTCCAAAGTGGAACAAAAGATAAAATTTAAAGAAATAAATTATGTTGGCAGTCCATCGTAAATGAATTTCACTGCACATCGTAATCGATCGATCAGTCGATGAACTCATTAGTTTAAAATGTCTAGGTTAGTAAGTAAATTATCAAAACCATAGTTTCAAACCCGTTACATTAAATTTTAACTGACAGTCCCATCAATGATTTTATCTTCTAAGTAACGAAGTAATCGTGACCAGTTCGTTAGTACTAAATTAGTTAAGTAACTCAATTTTTTATTTATTTTTTTCATAAAGAAGTGAATATTGGATAATTTCCGTTAGCTTCTTTCTTCTTCTCACAAATCCCTGGTAGGTTCCTTTCAGACATCACAGTTGGCTTCCTTTCAGTCACAACTAATGATGACTGTATCTATTTATGTCTGTGAGGATCTACTTCAAAATAACAAACTTTTGGTGAGAAGAAGTTGAAATAAGAGGTTTATGGTGGGGGATGAGATACACTAAATAGTATTTTATCATGAATGAATACAACAGGAACAAATCTCAGGATTTTTGTTATATGATGGTTTCCTTAACATATACCTGTAGGATACAATAGGTTAAGTATAGATTAAGTATAGGATAAATTATGTATAAACTTGGTATAGAATGGGTTATGCATAGATTGCGTACAGAATGGAACGAGGATTCTGCGAAGTTAGAGGGCGCTTAAGCATCTTTGAAATATGCGGACATTTTGAAATTTCATGCTGGTAAACCTTTTTCTTGTTCCAGTTCTTTTGTAGTCTCGTTGATACCCGGTTGTAGCCCAGTGTCGTGGTTTTCTGTATTTGTCTTGAACGTCTCGGGTGGCTTGAGTGATGGAACTGTTTATGTTTTTGCAGGTTTCAGTAACACCATTTGTCCATCTCTTTCTTGGTGTTCCTCTTGCCTTTTTCCCAGATGCTCTGCTGTAAAGTCATATGCAATTTGCTCTGGCTGCAGTCTCCTTAGATGGCTGAACCATTTCATTCTGTGTCTGTCTATATAATCGAGACATGGTCTTATTTCACCTTCCTCTCTAATAGTAAAGGGCTACCTGGTCTCCAGGCATAGTGTCCGCCTCGAGTGCCAGAGGTTCTGGGCTCAATCCCCGGTAGCTGCTAGGATTTTTTCACGTGGACATCTGGCATTTTCCCCCTGGTCTCTGGGTGGTCAGACCGGACGCCCGTGTGTATTGTTGCGCCGATAAAAAAAATCTATTGGCATTTGGAAATCAAAACGAGTAGCCTAACGGCGCTGCCCGGGCAAAATTTGGAGTTTGAAATCTACCTATAGTATTTCTGGATACTACAGAGTCTGTGCACTGTGTTGAGCTTCTTCGTACTCAGACTTGAGTCAGAAAAAGAACGGAGCCCTTATGGGTTACCACTCATATACCATGATGTTGATCCGTTGTTCAAAACCTCAAACTTCATAATCTCTAACGCTGGTGGTGTTTGTTACCCTGTCTCGTCTAGTGTTGTTCAGCCCTCGTTGAGACAGCGCATCTCACAGGTAGCTATCGTTCTGTTCTGGTGCCCTATTCGTTGTCTATTTTTGGCACTGATATATAAAGTAGGGATACAGATGCTATTAATCATTTTTTGTTATGCTGGAAGGGAGACATTTGGGTGTCACAGCAGTCATGCTAACTGGTAGGTATAAACCAAACTGATAAACCACACTAAAAAAACATTTTTTTTGTCTTTTTGCATGATCGTCTCTTCCTCCAGCACACTCAGGGAAGTAAGTGATCACGCCGTCTTTCCATTCTGTTCATGATCTTCCTCTTTTTCTCACTCAGGTGCCGTCTCCACAGTGAAGGCCTGCTGGAATGGATCTCCAACACGCTCTGTCTCTTGTATTGGTTGTAAACTCTCTCAGACTAACTGCTTGTCTGTCTATCGATGTTGTATTCTTACTTGTATCATTGTCTACCTCCGAATTTCTTGTCCTCTTTAACACATGTTATACCTGGTTTTATTCTTAGCGTTCCACTATTAAACTTTTAATTTGTAAAAGCTCAACAAATCAACGCATTAAATGGGTGAAATAATCATACATACCTGCGTATGCTAAGAAAAAATTTACAACCAAATCCTTTCCCTGACTTACTGACACTTGTGTCGAGCAGGAATGTCGGGGCTGTTAAAGGCCCTCTTTCTACAAGGATACTGTGTACCCGTCACGTGGTCACATCAGATCCAACCAATCCCATTAATTTACTTGTGTTGGGGTTTTCCGATAACAGATAAGCTGTTGCAACATGACGATAATCCTGGGGAAGTTTGCCATGAAACCAGGAAGTAGTTGGAGTTTCCACAGCTCAAGGCTTTTCCGTGCATATGGTTTCCTGCTTTGTAGCACTGCAGATTGGTATCACGGGTCATGGTATATCATCACTATGTGCCGCGGCGATATGCGTAGGTGATCAGGACTTGCAGTCTCGCACAAATATCACTATATGTAAGTTCTTATAGGATACATAAATCTTCTTCTTCTTCTTCTTCTTCTTCTTCTTCTTCTTCTTCTTCTTCTTCTTCTTCTTCTTCTTCTTCTTCTTCTTCTTCTTCTTCTTCTTCTTCTTCTTCTTCTTCTACTTTTTCTTCTTCTACTTCTTCTTCTTCTACTTCTTTTTTTTTCTTCTTCTTCTTCTTCTTCTTCTTCTTCTTCTTCTTCTTCTTCTTTCTTCTTCTTCTTCTTCTTCTTCTTCTTCTTTTTCTTCTTCTTCTTCTTCTTCTTCTTCTTCTTCTTCTTCTTCTTCTTCTTCTTTTTCTTCTTCTTCTTCTTCTTCTTCTTCTTCTTCTTCTTCTTCTTCTTCTTCTTCTTCTTCTTCTTTCTTCTTCTCTTCTTCTTCTTCTTCTTCTTCTTCTTCTTCTTCTTCTTCTTCTTCTTCTTCTTCTTCTTCTTCTTCTTCTTTTTCTTCTTTCTTCTTCTTCTTCTTCTTCTTCTTCTTCTTCTTCTTCTTCTTCTTCTTCTTCTTCTTCTTCTTCTTCTTCTTCTTCTTCTGCTTCTTCTTCTGCTTCTTCTTCTTCTCTTCTTCTTCTTCTTCTTCTTCTTCTTCTTCTTCTTCTTCTTCTTCTTCTTCTTCTTCTTCTTCTTCTTCTTCTTCTTCTTCTTCTTCTTCTTCTATTACTCCCTCTTCTTCTATTTTTTCTTCTTCTTTTTTTCTTTTTCTTCTTCCTCTTCTTCTTTTTCTTCTCCTTCTTCTTGTTCGTCTTTTTTTTTCTACTGCTACTGCTACTACTTCTAATACTACCCATCATCAATCAGCAAGTCCTTTACAGAACGTCGCTCTCTTCACGGCACGCCTGAAAATATCCCTCTTTCAAGCCAGCTCCCCGGCCCCATGTGCTTTCAATGCCAATGAATCTTCAATGTCTTTATCCATCTTCGCGGTGATCAACCCCTGCCTCTCCTTCCACAAACTGTACCTTCCATCACCATCTTTTCCAAGCCACCATGGCGCTTGATGTGGCTAAAATACTTCAACTTTCGGGACAGGATGCTGTTTATGAGCCAGTTGTCCTTGATGTTCAGCTCGTTCACAACGTTGATGTTTTTCCTCTTCCTGATCCATGGTATTCTAAGAAATTTTCTATAACATTTCAATTCAAAAGCTCCAGTATTTTTCCCCAGTGACTGAGTGAGAGTCCAGGACTGACAGCAGTTAGTTGCCACATGAAAAATGCATGATCTCAAGATTTTTACTGTAACAATTTACTAGTGCTTTGCCATAGATTCTTCATGTTATTTAATCTCTGCATTGCTAATGCAAGTCTTCTTGAGACTTCTTTCGAGCAGTCACCACTGTTGTTCACTAAAGAGCCCAAGTATTCGAAATCTGTTACATTTTCTATTTCTTTATTTTCGATTGCGATACCTGGTTGGTGTGCTATATTTACTGAGGACATAATTTTTGTTTCTTTTAAATTCAGAAACAAATTTACTTCATCGCTGTGTTTTTGACCGCCAGAATTAATTTGTCTAAACCTTGTACACTGTTGGAAAGGAGAACTGTGTCGTCTGCATATCTGAGTTCTGGGATAGGATTACCTCCAATTTTAAGTGGATCAAAGCTCTCACATGCTTCATCGCTAATTGCGTTTCTAGTAAAATTTTCAGCATATATGTTAAAGAGAGAGAGGGTGAAAGAATGCCGCCCTGTCTCACTCCTTTCTGCACGTCAAACCATTCTGATGTTTCACCAGCTACTCTGACCGCTGCTTGTTGTTCGTGGTAACGAGATTCCATTAAGTGCATCAGATGATTTGGAAATCCCATGCCTCTCATTCCTGGGGTAGGAGCCTGTCCTACAACTATGGCGCGTCCATCAGGTGGCGGATGGTGGAAAGGCCTCTAGATATAGAGGTTAGCCACGAATATATTGAATAAGTGGCCGTGGACCAAAACAGGTGATGGTCATTGAGAGGAGGCGAGTTAGTTGGTGGGACAGCTAACTCTATAAAATACCTCAAAACTCTTCGACATGGCCATCGGCGGGTAAGAGGCGCCATAACCTCTTCCCCCCTGCTGCCTTGCAGGGTAAGTCTAAGGCTATTGGAGTCAAACCATATACAAACCGGCGGAAGGCAAGGGGAAACCACCGCTGTACTATCCCAAGAAAATAATGCCTTAAAATAATACATATTCAGATAACGACGTGAATGGGGATTCCAGTGAAATCACCTAGTCCGGTAGGGAGCATCAAGTTCTACAGGTGATACCCGACCGTCATCCAGCTACTGTAGAAAAAGTAAATGGTAGAAACATCATGAACATTGGTACATGGAATGTCAGAACACTCGTACAAAACGGAAAGTTGGATAACATCAAGATGGAAATGAAAAGAATGAACATCAACATACTAGGAATTAGTGAAATGCGATGGCCAGGAGCAG